CTTAACCACCAGGCCAAGCCCTCTTAGGCCTCAGCTTCCTCATCTGCAAAATGGAGATAACAATAGTAATTACCTAACAGGTCGCTGAGATGATCAAATGAAAGAAGGTACACAAAATGTTTAGCATGGTGCTTGGAACAACATGAGCTCTCTGTAGACTAGCCATTGTTGACTCTTTGTTTTTGTTCTCAAGAGTCAACTGAGAGGCCAGGCGTGATGGCTCACACCTCTAATCCTAGTGCTCTGGAAGGCCAAGGTCTGAGGATTTCTTGAGCTCAGGAGTTCAAGAGCAAGACCCTGTCTCTACTAAAGTCTAGAAATATTGGCAGTGTCTGTAGCTCAGTGGGAAGGACACTGGCCACATATACCCAGGCTGGTGGGTTCAAACCTGGCCCAGGTCAGCTAAAACAACAATGACGACTGCAACAAGAAAATAGCTGGGCATTGTGGTGGGTGTCTATAGTCCCAGCTACTTTGGAGGCTGAGGCAAGAGAATCACTTAAGCCCAAGAATTTGAGGTTGCTGTGAGCAGTGATGACATAGCACTCTACTAAGGGTGACAAAATGAGACTCTGTCTCAATAAATAAATAAATAAAATAGAAAAAATTAGCCAGGTGTTGTGGTGGGCACCTGTAGACCCAGACTCAGGAGGCTGAGGCTGGAAGATCACTTTAACTTAATGAGATTGCTGTGAGCTAGGCTGATGCCATAGCACTCTAGTCTGGGTGACAGAATGAAACTATCTCAAAAAAAAAAAAAAGTCAACTGAGAGACTGCCCACCTGTTTGCTAGCCTCCCTGAGGGGCATGAAAGAGGTCATACAGCCAATGGAGACAAAATGCTTTTCTCCTCTAGGTAACTAAAGTTGCCCAAAGACAGGCAAGTCTCTGTCTCCTAACCTAGTCCTCCCAAGCAGCTATTAGGGCATTCTGTAAGGCTGGCTTGTTCCCAGGCCCTGTCCTGCTGGAGACCACTGTCCTCTGAGTCTTGGAATTGGTAGGGGAAGGGAGGAGGACAGGAGGTAGGACAGCTGCTGCTTTTCAGTTCCTTCCCCTTGGTGAAAGATTCCTCTTCTTGAATGAACCCCAAGTGTAGTAAAACCAGATCAGATGATTCTCTACTTTAAGGAGTCTTCAGTGCCTCCAGAATGAAGTTCAAGTCCCCAAGTAGGGTTTTCAAGGGGCTCAAGAGTCTGATTGCTCCAATCCTGCCTATCTCCCACCACTTTCCCAGACCCACCCTGCCCTGGTGACAACCCTTTGGACCTTTGCAGTTTTTGCTGCCTGGAACACCCTTCTTCACTAGAGAGAGGCCCAATTGCAGCATTGCCTTTGCCATAAAGCAGCAGTTTTTAACCTGTGGGTCGCAATCCCTTTGTAACAATGAAAATACATTCTGCATATCAGATACTTACATTACGATTCAGAACAGCAGCAAAATTACAGTTATGAAGTAGCAACGAAAATAATTTTATGGTTGGGAGTCACCACAACATGAGGAACTGTATTAAAGGGTCACATCATTAGGAGGGTTGAGAACCACTTCCATAAAGCCATTCCTGACTTCATTTTTCTGTTTGCAAAGCATTTTATACCAGTACTCATCTGGACAACATAGTAAAACCCAGTCTCTATGAGAAAAAAGAAAGTCCACCTAACCTTACTGTAATCAGCTCCATATACTTGTGATCGGGTGGAAAGTTTTTGTTTCCTACTTTATTCAACTACTATTTTACTTATTTATTTAGAGACAGAGTCTCTGTTGCCCTGGGTAGAGTGTCATGGCTCACAGCAATCTCAAACTCTTGGGCTCTAACAATCCTCCTGCCTCAGCCTCCCCAGTAGTTGGGACTACAGGTACCTACCACAGTGCCTGGTTAGTTTTTCTATTTTTAGTAAAGACAGGATCTCACTCTTGCTCAGGCTGCTCACACTCCTGAGCTCAAGTGATCCACCTACCTCAGACTCCTAGAGTGCTAAGATTACAGGTGTGAGCCACTGTACCCAGCTCAACCACTATATATTATTTATTAATGTATATATCTACTTTTGAGACAGAGTCTCACTCTCTGCCCTGGGTAGAGTGCTGTAGCATCACAACTCACAGCAACCTCAAACTCTTTGGCTCAAGCAATTCCCTTGCCTTAGCCTCCCCAGTAGCAGGGATTACAGGTGCCTGCCATAACACTCAACTAGATTTTCTATTTTTAGTAGAGAGAGTCTTGCTCTTACACAAGCTGGTGTAGAACTCTTGAGCTCAGGGCATTCATCTGCCTTGGCCTCCCCAGTGCTGGGATTATAGGCATGAGACACTGTAGCTGGCCTCAATTACTATTTTATTTTATTGAAACAGAGTTTTACTTTGTTTCCCTCGGTAGAGTGCCATGGTGTCACAGCTCACAGCAACCATAAACTCCTGGGCTCAAGTGATTCTCTTGCCTCAGCCTCCTGAGTAACAGGGACTACAGGTGCCTGCCACAACATCTAGCTATTTTTTTTTTGAGACGGAGCCTCAAGCTATCCCCCTGGGTAGAGTGCCATGGCATCACGCTCACAGCAACCTCCAACTCCTGGGCTCAAGCGAGTCTCCTGCCTCAGCCTCCCAAGTAGCTGGGACCACAGGCGCCTGCCACAACGCCTGGCCATTTTTTGGTTGCAGCCATCATTGTTGTTTGGCGGGCCCGGGCTGGGGATTCGAACCCGCCACCTTAGGTGTATGTGGCTGGCGCCTTAGCCGCTTGAGCCACAGGCGCTGAGCCAACATCTAGCTATTTTTAGAGATGAGTCTTGCTCTGGCTCAGGCTGGTCTCAAACTCGTGAGCTTAGGTGATCCTTGGCCTCCCAGATTGCTAGTATTATAGGTGTGAGCCACCACTCCTGGCCTTCAACTACTATTTTAAATAAACATATCCAATGTACTGTTGGCACATCAATGGTAATATAGTAAGCATTCCAGCAATTTTGGAGAATGGTGTCATGGCAGTGAACTCAGACTCTAAAGACCAACTGGGGAAAAATTCTGTCCTGTTAATTAAGAGATGTATGTCCTTAGGCCAAGTGACTTCACCTCTCTAATCCTCAGTTTCTTCAGCTCTAAGATGGGGTGATAACAGTACTTACTTCAAAGAGCAACTGTGAGGATTAAAGAAATTAAAGTGCATCAAGGGAGTGGCTAAACCATGGTCTGCTTGTTGGCAACTTGGGTTGTTTCCAACCCTTTACTCTTCTGAGGACATAGGAATGTGTTATTCCCATCTCAGACACTACAGACACTGACTCCTCGAATCCACCTTGGATATTAGGTGTCTACCAATGCTTAACACCTGGTGATAGGTGGTGCCTGTGGCTCAAGGAGTAAAGCATCGGCCTCATATACTTGGGGGTAGTGGGTTCAAACCCAGCCCTGGCCAAAAAAAATAAAAAAACTACAAAAAAAAAAAAAAAAGAAAGAAGGAAAACCTGGTGATAAATTAATGTACTTTCTCTCTTTCAAAGTATTCTCTCACCCCAACTTCCTTCTGATGGCTGAGAGCCCATACTTGCCGTCATGTCAGGATCCTCCCTGAGGCCTGACCACAGCCTGTCTTTCCTTCTTCCTCAAGACCTCTCAGTCTGTTCCCCTTCATGGACTATCCTGATCTTTATAACAATCCTGAGTTGCAGTTCACATTTTTGTAGGGTACTGCAACTTTTAAAGCAGGGTACTGGGGCGGTGCCTGTGGCTCAGTGGGTAGTGTGCCAGCCCCATATACCAAGGGTGGTGGG